GTCTCTGTGACTAGCTGCTTTAACGTGGCATAAGGTTTTCAAAGCCCATCCATGTTGCAACATGTTTCATAGCATTTTTGTTGTCAAATAATAAGCCATTGTTCGGATGTACCATGTCTTGTTTGTCCACTCAGCAGTAAACTCTTATAAATTCTTTGATTCACACACATTTTTTTGGATGCAAAATTGCTCTCAGTCTATTTCTTTTATTTCTACTTTAAAATACTAACTTTTCTGGGTTTCAGTAGACTCACCAGAAAATGAGGGTGTTACTGTAATTGATCTCTGAGGTCTAGCCCTTCTCCTGCCATCCTATGAATCTTTGTTAAAGTTTCACTTATTCTTTGGAAAAAATTTTTGCACACCAATATAAAAATTCTTTTTAATTCACCATTTCATACCTAACAGTGCTTTATGAACATATTTATGGCATTGAATATTATTTGATATTATGATTTTTAATGACTATATTATTTTATTATACAATTATATCATAATGTTTTTACCAATCTTTTTTTTAAACATTAGGGTTTTTTTCTAACTTTCTTGTTATATTTTATGCTCAATTATTGTCTTTGTAAAGAAACTCCTATGCAAATGTCCAATGATTTGTGCATAATAAATTCGTAAGTGTATAATTCATGGGTCAAAAGATTCCCCAAATTTAGGTGTTTTATAAATATAGTGAACATTACTTCCAGAAATAATGTGCCAGTTATATACTCCTGAATTTTAGCTTAGCATATTATTATTTAAAATACTTATTAATCAAGTTTAATATGATAGCAGATTGTTTTATGTTTCTTTGTTTATTAAATTTTCCCATGTATTTATTTATCACTTGTGTCTCTTCACACATTTTTTTTTGAGTATTCATCTACTTTATTGGTTCCTTCATGTATTAACATTTTGTCATAAGTTTGCAGCTATATTTTCCTGAGCAGATTCCTTGACATACTAGCTGTGTGATCTTGGGCAAGATGTTTATCTTGCCTGTGCTGCAGTTTCTTTAATTTAAAGTTGGACTGATCTCGCTCATCTCTTCAGTTAATGTTGTCTGAATCTGGAAACGAGCTCAGCTTTTGGGACTGAGTAAGACTGTGACTTTTTATTGGAGGGACCACCCTCACCTTCCTGCTCGTCTGTTCTTGCCTTTTTACCTGGGTGGAGAGGTTAAGTAGCACCATCGTTGGCTGCACATCTAGAGGGGCTAAGCTCTATTGACAATTCCTGACAGGTCAAAGCCCCTGGGTTGCCTTTCCTGCCTTGCCAGTTGTCCAGGTAATTGTGGCCCACTGACATCTGCTGCTAAGCACCACCCCCTGGACTCTCATCTCTGCAGATGGTAATAAACCCAACCCTGTGGCCACCTCTCCACAGGCAGCTCTGCCCTGCAGAGAAGGCCACCGTAGAACTATTTAGTGATGCTGGCAGCCCTCTTACCAATGCGTCCCTCATGGCCTTGCTGAACAGTTCTTTACTCGGTGTCCCCTTCTTCCAGGGGAACATCATCCTCTGATGAGAGTCCTAGCCTTACATCACTCCAGCACTCCACTTCTCTCAGCCTCTTTATTCTTTACTCTGCCATCTGTTCCGCGTGGGCCTTCACTTCCTCAGACTTGCAGGAGCCATTCTGGTAACAAACGCACCCACTCCCTGAGGTTCCTGCCAGGTTGTTAGATCGCATGCCCTGTGAAAGTGCTCCAAATCAATAAATCCGAGTTTATCCGGTCTTATATTCCAGCCCTTCGGTTAAGCCCCCTCTAAATCCGATGCCTGGTGCACTCTCCTGGCTCCTGTTGGTGCTGCAGCTCTGCGGGTGTTTAGTCTCTTTCTGCCTTTGTTGCGCCCCGCTTGGCCCTGTGGAGGTGGTGCTGGGATTTAACCCTAGTCATCAGACTGGCAACCAGGACAGGAGGTGTGGGCAGCTTCTGAGGGAGTACCTGTTGCTTCACGTGGGAGGGGCCTCTGTAGCATCTTGTAGCAAGAGACCTATGCGTCAGGGTCCCTTGATTTTCCACCACAGACCTTCCTTGGACTGTTTAATCATCAATGGAGCTCTGCAGCTTTAAGTTTCAGAGCTGCAGTGTGCTGCTCAGTTGTGTCTCCTCTTCCACTTTGTAAGCTATTAAACAGGCCAGTGGCTTTCACACTTAGCCCTTCACTGCTTTTTAGCAATGCTCAGTTTCTTATTATTCCTTTGTAGTTAGCAATACAGTTTATGAGTAACCGACCAACTCTGCTGTCCTTGTAGGTATTATTCCTCTTTATCCTCCAAATGCCTTTCAGTTTATCAGTGGAGACCATTTGCAACTAGGCTGCCTTGTGCCAGGGACTGTCCCTGCCCCATATACCACTCAGGATGGCATCATCTTAGCCTGCTGGGCAGTGAGTGAACCCATCCCCAAAACTCATCTTATGGCCACGTTTCTTGGACTATGGGTGGTACCATTTGTGTCAGTCAGGTCCTCAAAAGCAGGCACTGAGACAGAATTAGACAAGTATATTAGTTTTCTATGGCTGCTCTAAAAAATTACCATAAATTGAATAATTTCAGACAACACACACCCATTCTTCTGCAGCTCTGGAGGCCATAATTTCCAAAATCAGCTTTCCTGGGTTGAAATCAAGCTGTGGGCTGAACTGCACTTCCTCTGGAGGCTCTAAGGGAAAATCTGTTCTCTGCTTCTTCCAGCTTCTGGTGGTTGCTGGCATACCTTCCATTACCAGCGTCTTCAGATCTCTCTTGCCATTGCCTTTCCTTCTGCTTGTGTTTCTGTCAAATCTCACTTGGCCTCTCTCTTACAAGGGCATTCGTGGTAGGGCCCACCTGGGTAATGCAGGATAATCTCCTCATGTCAAAATCCTTAACCAGCCACAGCTGCAAAGGAACCCTTTTCCAAATAACGTATGGTTACAGATTTCAGGATTATAACCTTATATCTTTGAATATTAAAATATAGCCCCCACCACAACATGCAAGAGACTTACTGGGGGAATACTAGTGAAGAAGAAAAAAAAGAAAGGAAATGAAGAGCCGGTGTGGAAATGCAGTTCTGGCATCTCAGAGGGAGTGAGAGGGAAGGCACAATGGGTATAAAGTGTCAGGCTGCACTGCGATTCCAGAAACTGCCCAGGCTGACAGGGAATCCTTGAGCCAAAGTACTTCATGTATAAAGTCCTGTGTCTGCAGGAATGGGTCTGTATCCATAAGCCCATTGTGCAAAGGCACTGGCTCAGTGCAGCCTGGGGAAATGTGGCCTGGACAGGAATGTGGTGGTGGGTCCAGAAGAGTGGGCGCTCGGGCCATCAGTCAGTTACGCTCCACAGAGCTAGAGAGCTGAGCAGGGCATTTTTCATGGCCACCACGCCCATCCATATACGTTTCCCTCCGATCTTATTGCCATCAATCTTCTCATTTCTCAAGGTCCCTGACTAGGCAGCCCATTAGCCATTAACCAATGATTAGATTTGTACCCATCTACCTCTCCTTTTACAAAAAGTGGAGCACAGATTATTGCCTGAAGTTCTGCTCAGCGGGAGAATTTCCCTCTCCTGCTCTTGTTTAGGGACACCCTTGTCAGGGGCTGACATAAAGCAGCAGTCTATCCTTGGCTGGGGACATGATAACTTGTAGACTCACCTCTGAAAAAGGCCTGTGCATTTTCCTCCTGTGGGAACTAGCCATTAAGGCAGTGCTTCTGAGTTCAGAGGTGGTGGTGAGGGAGAGGCATCAAGGCAGCAGTAGTAGGTACCCTGGGGTCTGATTCACCAACTCATGTGACTTACTTGTGCTGTCTAGACCATCTTGAGCCTGGTCGTGAGTGTACCATTTCCATTTAAGAGTGGAATGTTGCTGCACATGTCCAACTTCAAAATTTGGCACATCAAATAAGTCCTAGTTCATGGTGGGCAGTCCTGGTCACATTGTCACACAGTGTCTTGTGTCTCTGCCGGACTCCGTTCAAAGCCTAGACCTGCTTTTCAAATGAAGGAGACTTGTTGGAGGGTGATAGCATGTCCTTGTTCCCAAATCCTGAAGTCTATGTTGTAATTCTTCTATTGAGCCTCTGTTTGCCAGAGACACTTCAAGTATCATTGAATGTCTTTGGTCATAAAGCCTAAATGACAGGACCACTTGCACCACAGCTTGTGCCCAGCATCCCCAACATCGAGTCTTCTCTTATTCTGGAACCCACGTAAAACTGGCAGCTTTATGTGTTACTTTGTAATTGGATTCAGTCACATCAAGATATGGTATATGTTCTCTAAAGTCTAAGAAGTTCTACCAAGCACTGTGCCTCTTTCCTTGCAGTGGGAGTGACAAGTGCAGCCAACTTTTCTCACTTTAGAGAGGCTATCCTCACCTGCCACAGACCACTGCTCCTCTAAAAACTTATCTATGTGTCTGGTTTCAGAACTTTCGTGTTTTATGTCACTCTCTGGCATGCATGTGTCTTTCAGAAGCATCTCCTTTGCCTACTTCCTGATCA